CCCCCAGCCCTGTGGATTCTTGCTGGACATTTATTCTAGAATTTTCTACCTCCTTCTATTACCACTCCGGCCTCCTCGGGAGGCAGGGCCGGCTCGCCGTTGCCAGCCAGCCTGCTTGGTGACCCTGCGTCTGTCCCCTCCCCAGAAAGCAGCCTCAGCCCGGGTGACAGAGCGACACTCTGTCGCAAATAATAATAATAATAATAATAATAATTAGGAAGAGAGAATGAGCTAGAAAGATCACTTTGGCGTGGAGGCCGGGGTCATGGAGGCAGAGCCTCTACCCCCAGGAGCCCGCGGGCCCGGCCTCTACCCCGGCGGTGGCGGGTGTAGGTATAGACGTGTAGGCGGAGAGTGGGCATTTTGAGCAGGGCTTCTAAGGATGAATAGGAGTTCGCCGGGCAACACGCTGTATCGCTGCCCCGCTTCCAACTGGCCTGTTCTAGAGAGTTCTAGAAAATTCTTCCCCCTCTTTCCGGACATTCCTGCCTGGCCGCGGCCATCGGGCCTGTCCCCTCCTCCCCGGTGACAGAGCCCACGTCTCGGTGCCTGTGGCGGGCAGCCGTCTCCTTGACTCCCGAAACAGTGCTCCCTCCCGCTGCCAATGGCTCGGAAAGACACGTGAGCTTCAGGTATGGCTTGATCCAGGCGCTCGGCGACCTCGGCCGCTCTGTCGGGCGGCCCTGTCGGGTCGCACACTCTCTGGTCCCCTCTCCCTGAGTGGGTGACAGGCTGGGGGACACCGGGCGGGCCCCGGGCCGCTGAGGGGTGAGACGCCGGGCACACAGGGGCCACCAAGGAGCGGCCTCGGGGTCTCAGTGGCCTCGGCTCGGCCTCCACCCCTCCTCGCTGCCTCCCCGCTGGGACTCTGGGGGGGCGTGGGGTGGCCGGGACAGGGGCGGGGGGACCGGCACGGGGACTTCTGAATTTTTTTTTTGTTTTTTTTTTGAGGCAGAGTCTCGCTCTGTCGCCCGGGCTGGAGTGAGCGCCCTGGCGTCAGCCTCGCTCACAGGCAACTTCCGATCCTGGCTTCCGGGGGG